CCAATCGTCTCCCATTCCCCCAAGCTAAAGGCAGTCGGATCCATTTTTGTGGTACATTCATGGATAGGAATACCCTTAGACAGGAATAAATTCCAGCGCTATGACTGCTGAGGGATCATCTGTAAAGTGCGACATAAAAATGAACCCACGTCATGATAATTCATGTGAGCCACACGTATTACTGCTTTGGATGTGGTGCACCCAAAATAGATCTCGACGCTAATGAAGCGCCGCTATCATGAAATGCTTGTGACTCCGCACACGGAGTCTCTGACATGAAATGAAGGTTGTCACCTCAGTGTAACACGTGATCGGAAATGTCATGGCTACTAGTATTATAACTCTGCGTATTCAATGCCATGACATACTCTGTGTTGCACCTAAAAACACTTGGTTTGGGTATCCGACCTCGGATCTTGGCTTTAGTATCGGTGCCATTGATTTGAAAATCTTGCAACTTGATCCTGATTTCTTGGCTCACTTCCGGATTCGCCTCTCAACCAGCAGCTCTCCCAAGTCTCCCTCTCCACAGCATTATGAAGTTCTCGACCGTCTTCACCGCCGCCGCCGTCGCCGTCCTGTGCCTGCTGCAACCGTCGGCCGCCGAGGAGCAGGCCTCTGTGCACCTTCGTGTCCACACCGTCGAGCAGAGCCCCAACGGCGCTATCTGCTACCTGGACTGCCCGACGGGCCAGCACTGCCCGCGTGGTGAGAACAAGTGCCGTGCCCCCACTGGCAACCAGTGCTTCAACCCGGCCACGAGCCTCTTCCGCGAGGGCTGCGACCCCGGCTTCAAGTGCGACAAGGGCAAGTGCGTGTACAAGAAGTAAACCCTCGTGCCATCAAGAGTGCAAGATGACATGTAAGACGTCGCCCGAGTGTGCTATAGTCTCTATCCTCCTTCCTCTGTCCATATAAGCTCTGTAATGGGCAATACAGTTTCATTTTGCATCAATTAACATCCATGACTCTTGACTTGCCCATATCTACACCTCCCATCACGACACTTTCCGGTGTTTTAAGATGCATCTGAAGCGATGCACTCCTCCACACGCTCGCAGTGCAGGTTCTTGACTATGGCTCCAACTGTTGTGATACCTGATACGTATTCTGCTGGTGAACGTATTGCATGCACCTAATCACCTCGAGTCGAGTCTCTCCTACTGATTTCGCGACCAACACCGTCGACAGGAAACAACAGAGAACTCGCCAAGCCATTTCAAAACTTAACTAACTTCGTGATTGAACTCAGGCACTAGCAAACAGTGCAAGAGGGAAGTCTTGTTGGATTCCAACTTGGAAGGATTTGCAAGGCAGGCACAGGTCTCGTTCAATGAGACCCTGATGCCTTGTGGTCCCTGATTTATTCTAC